TATTCCTCTTTCCTTTCATCTCTTGTAATCTAAAATAGATCTAAATATTTTGTATATTTGTAGCTTGTGAATGATTATGAGTAGTTAAAGATTTTATTCTAAAATTATTTGACACTCTTGTACAGATTAACATTGAGTTCCTCTTCTCTTTTTGTGATAAGTGATGTGTGTGTGTGTGTTTTTTTTTTAATTTTATTTTTTTTAATGCTTCTAAATGTTTGCTCACCATTTAGATGTTGAATTCATTTGATTGTTACTTGAAAGGGCTAAGTTGAGTATAGAACTTAGGTAAAATAGTGTAAAAACTTAATATTTACATGTTGAATGGATAGTTTTACTAGTAAGATAGAGATATACTAGTTAGTCTTACATAGCCTTGCATAACAAGAAATTGAGCAATTAATTTAGCTAAACACTTGTTCATAATTTAAAAGAGCTCGTTCAAGTATTTTTAAAACCCTATGTTAGCACTTATTTTTATTAAAAATATTTATAAGAGGAGGTAATTTTGGTATTATGAGATACAAGGGAAATAAAATAATTCTAAGTCCCAATTTATACTTGAAGTTTATGAATCATTTTTTTTCTTTATTTTTAAATGTTAATTTAGTTTGAAAAATTAACTTCACCTAATTGTGTTTGGCTCAATTTGATTGAATTTGATTAGTCTTTTACTTAATTGTTATTTTTAAACAAATCTATGTGAAAACAATAATTTACTTACACTTTATTACTTGTCATAACTCGTGCACTTGTGTAGAGTGCAACAAGTTTTTGGCACCTTTATCAGGAATTTTATCTTAAAAATATTTTGGTTAACCTTAAATTAGTAATGGTAAATTTTGCTTGTGCTTTATAGATATTTTCTTTTACTTTTGTTTTTTGTTTTTTACTTTTGTTTTAGTGTGATAACTCGTTGGTTATTTTCTTTTTCAAGTACCTATCTAGCGTAAGCAAGCCATAGATCCAAATGGATTGAAAGTTATACTTAAAAGAGTAACAATTTTTTACAAAACCAAATCTCCAAATGAAATTTAGTAATATTAATTTAATAACCTTAAATTCATTATCTCATTATTAATAACCACTCCGGTAAAAGTGAAAATATACCGAAGCGCTTCTACAGAAACTAACATGATTGATCAAATTAGACGACTTCTAGCAAAGGACTAGAATGTCTCTTTAAACCACATTTATTGCAAGATGAATATTGTTAATTAGTTTGTTAAACGCACCCGTAGATGTAAACTTTACCACATAATTTCAGATCATTTTTAATAATACATTTACAGCAACTGATGAATAGAATACTTGGCAGTTATCATACTCTATTATCTACTCTTTATATGATCTTTCATAGCTTTTCATTAGAAAAGGGAGGAGAAAAAAAATCATTAAGTTCTCTCTGTATATAGCAAATCACAAGCAGTTTCCTAGTCTTGCAAGAAACATGGAAATTGTTGTATTTGATTAACAAATAACAAGTCCATATATTACTTAAAGAGTAAGGAAAAATGACAATTACAGAACTTATAAATGCATTAATAACAATAAAAGATTTCAAAATATTGAAATGTCATGGGAAGGACCATGATCTTTATTTATAATAAATAATTAAAATGATCAATCCATGTATGAGTAATGACTCATGAATTTAAATAAGTTAGCATTTGGATTGATGAATATTTAGATTTTAGATTTAAAATCTTACATTTTAAATTTCACATTTAAAATTTATTTATTTAAAATTTTTTATTTGGGTAGTTTAAAAAAATTTTAAATGAAAAATAGAGATTAACTTAGATTCAAAATGAAAATAAAAAATTAGAAGTGGCAGGTTTATTTTTATTTCTTAATCAACAAGAGATAAATAAAGATATAAAAGTGATAAATGTATCAATAGTGAAAACGTAAAGTAAATAATATTTTAAAGTGATTAAAATTTTAAATGATTAGGGTATAGAGAAAATTTAAAATTATAAAAAAATTATAATTTTAAATGGATTTTTTATTTAAACCAAATCTAAATTCATAATTTTTTGTTTATCTAAATAAGAGATTTAATTCAAAGTCAAATCCAAATTTTCATTAATGCAAACATACCATAAAGCTATTTATGAATTTAATAATGTAACTTATGAATCAATAGAAAGTCAATTATGAATGAATCAATAGTTTTATCAATATATGTATCATTACTTATAAATTTAAAAATGATCACTTGTGAATTTTAGTAATGTCAATAGTAAATTTACAAAAATTCAATAGTGAATGAATAAATAGCATCATTAATTTCTACATCATAGGTGATTAATATAATTAATATCTTTATAATTGTCATTAATATTTTTACAAGTTCTATGATTATCATACTATCAATTTCCGGAAGAAAAATAACAAGTACATTTTCAATAAGCAATGCGTGATCCATTATTTTGTGATATCCTTTCCAAAGTTTATCAACAACATAAATTTATTCTTTCTTTGAGTTGGGAGAGCATACATATAATATAAAAACCCTTTTATCAAAACATCATGACAAGCCGGATTATTATTATTTTTATTATAATTATAACTTTCAATAAATATTGTAGGATATATATGTGTGTGTATTTATAATCAAATTCTTTTTGACGAATGTTATCTTTCTTTTAGCCCAACATACATGCTGATATCATCCCTCTTATTCAGCTCAATCACGTCCCTATTTATAAAATAAATAAATATTCTAGAAAGTCGATGAAAACCTAACCCCAGTTATGGACTGTCCTGTCAAAATATTCTATTTTAATATATTACTTTAATTTAATTTTTAAAAATTATTAAAGTAAGCTTAAATATATATATATATGTATGTATGTATATCAATTTTGTCAATGAAAAGTATTTAAATATTAACTTTAAATTGAAATTATTGGAATAATAATAATAAAAATTAAAGACTTGGTAAAGTAGAAAGTTAAATATTTAAATATTAACTTTAAAATTGAAATTATTGGAATAATAATAAAAATTAAAGACTTGGTAAAGTAGAAAGTTAAAGTCTCAATTTATATCAATATTAATTTGACGGATAGGTAAGAATGTGGTCATAAGTTATCACTCGAGTCAATTTGTCGATCAAAAAATCTGAAGAACAAGTCCACCATGGACTGCTTCTTCACTCTCTCCTCTCATGATACACACATTTATTTTTTATTTTAATTTTCAACTGTTTAATTATCTCTTAGTTTCTGGTTTTCCTTTTGTGGGTTCAAGACTTTGTACGTCACATAGCATTAACATTATTATTGATTGATCCATGTATATAATAAATGATTGCATATAAAAAAAGTGTTGAAATTAATTAAAAGTGAGAGCGAGGGCCATTATTTGTTTACCAATGACAATGAGAGCTTTGTATATATTATTCCTAAAAGACAACCCTAATGGCGTGTTGAAAGCGAAGACTTTCAATGGACCTTTTTGACCCTCTCATCTCTGAGTTCGAAAACCAGAACTCAACAACTCGCAAACAAGAGGAAAAGCAAATTACTAAACCATCTCTAATATTTTAGTTAATTTAGCCATCTTTCTTATATTCCAAATTTACCTACCACAAAATTCTACGTGACCAATTATTTCTTTATAAATATATATAATGCATGGAGGGATGGATCTAGAAACTCGCCCATGAAGCCAAAATGTACGGCCATATGAAAGTTGGGAGGACTAAATGTATAATTTAACATTTTTTTTTTGCAAATAAAAATGTTCATTTTGTACAAGAAATTTTGCCATGGATTCGTCCCTAAAAGCATGTATGTCTGGTTCATATTATTATTTACTCTTTACAATCCTATTATAAAAGCATGAGAAATGATTTTTTTTAATCTTATATATAAGGGATATTATTGACTTTCATCAAAAATTTCTCTTAGCTTTTATATATAAGGCATATTATTGACTTTCATCAAAATTTTCTCTTAGCTTTTATCCTTATTAAATGTTGGTTAAAGAAAATATTATTAAAGTCCTCTTTTCATCTTATATTTAAGTTACCTTTTAAAAATAATTTATAATCATTTATAAAAAGATGTATCATTGATTACTTTCTTCTAATTTTGTCATTTCACAATCTTTAATGAATGGAGAGTTAAAAATTATATGAAAAATATTTTTAAAGATGATGCATTGAATGAGATTTTTTTTTCTTTTTAGACAACATCAATATTTTAAATATCTTTCATTGATTTTGATAAAATAATTAAAAATAATATATAAATAAAACTAAAAAAATATGTATATTTAATAGAAGTAAAATTAAGATTTATTAAATTTTTAGATAAAAAAGTAAAAATAGTCAAGAAATTATAAGTCATGAGTATTCAATAATCTAAAAAAAAAAAATATATGAGTACCTGTGATTTTTTTTTTGTGTATAAGTAATTAAACTATTAAAAGTTAATGATGTTGACTATTATGTTGTATAATGTTGATTTGAAATTTAACTGTTTGGTTATAAATTCACTGAAAAAATAACTTCATGAATATTAATATAATTTTTTTTCACTTTATATTATTGGATGTTTTTGGTTCTTGATTTTTTGAATATTTTTACTCCATTGCTCTAATTTTTTTAAAAAATTAATAAATACTAAGGTAATTGTTTTCAATTTCAATAAAATATATTAAAAGTAACTTGAAAATGAAATAAACGATGAGTTTCATTTTTGTGGGCAATACTGTTATATAACAAGTTAAAACAGTTGATCGTTGATCGCCGGTCACCAAATTGGGTCAACCAACCGAGTTTTCAAAGCACCTAAACTTGAACGATCAGTATCGAGTTCGACGACGACGTTGAAATTAAACTTAGAACCACAGTAATAATCGCTTTCCTTTTTCTCGGCAGCTTCCGTTTAGGAAAATACCATTCATCCAACTATACCAAACACATCCTATCCGTTACGCTTCGAAAACACAGGTTTAAATCATCGAACGTATACGATGATGCAAAGAGACTTAGTGGTTGACCCAACCATCGGTTCACTTCAACAAAGCAATATCTTCTCCCTCGTTAATCTCATCCTTTCTTTGTTCTTCGATGTTAACAAGTTTCGTTGAATTCAATAACCTTATTATTTAAATTCATACATATATCATAGCTTATGTCGTCATGGTGATTAAATAATCCCTTTTATATACGAGATTTCTTAGCTTTCAAGCTCCAATTAGAGCTCTTTGTTTTCGTTATTCAGTTCTCGAATCCCGACATAACTGATCGAAGACAGTTATGTTTCCGTTTTTCCGTTATTATTTCTGGTTCATCGTCTTCCTCTTCCTCTTATTCCTTTCCCGCCCTTGTTTTCCCGCGAGAATGATACCAGAGATGGTAACTGTAACAACCAACCAAACCCGAAACGCCACGTGGCTTGACTTCTCGAGATTCTTACACGCCGAGAAAGGCAGCCAGGTCAGCGGCATGTCGGAGCTGAAGAGGTACTTTAACCACTTCGGCTACCTCTCTCAAAAAACGCCGTTTAACTTTACCGATGAGTTCGACTCCCAATTCGAGTCCGCCGTCTCGCTTTATCAGAAGAAGCTCGGCTTGTCCGTCACCGGAAAGCTCGACTCCGACACCATATCCACAATCATGGCGCCGAGATGCGGCGTCAGCGACGCCGCCTCGTCCCGTTTGTTACATTCCACTCGTCACTTCGCTTACTTCAGCGGCAAGCCAAGGTGGGTCCGTGGCTCTCCGATGAGCCTCACCTACGCATTCTCCCCGTACGCCGCGATCACCAGTCTGAGCATGACGGAAATCCGAACGGCGTTCCAGAGCGCGTTTTCGCGCTGGGCGTCAGTGATTCCGGTGAACTTTCTGGAGACATCCGGTTACGAAACGGCCGATATCCAGATCGGATTCTACACCGGCGAGCACGGAGACGGAGAGCCGTTCGACGGAGTGTTAGGGGTTCTGGGCCATGCGTTTTCACCACCGACCGGGAAATTCCATTTGGACGCAGCTGAAACGTGGGCCGTTGATTTCGATCGAGAAGGATCAAAGGCAGCTGTTGACTTGGAGTCTGTGGCGACGCACGAGATTGGTCACGTGCTTGGGCTGGCCCACACGAATGTGAAAGAAGCAGTGATGTATCCGAGTTTGAGTCCGAGGAGGAGAAAGAGAGACTTGAAGATGGACGACGTGTTGGGGATTCAAGCTTTGTATGGGTCAAACCCAAACTTCACGTTTAGTTCTTTGTTGGAATCGGAAAATTCCTCTAATTTAGCGGTTCGGATTAAAAGTGATTTGATTCAATGGCCACTTCTTCTGGCTCTGGGCTTGTTCGTATTATTATTTTCACGGACTTGAAAAATTCTTTATTTTTATTATTGAATTCTATACATTTGTATTTTTCATTCTTTGATATTGTATATGTAAAGCAGGAGTGAATTGGAAGAATAGTTCACAGTGGAAGGATGAAGAAAAAAGGGTGAATTACTCTAAGGATTTGTTCTACTTGAGCTTGTTGTGCATGTGTCAATAGAATATGCCAATTCATATCAAACGCATGAAATTTGAGCTTCCAATTCTAATTCCACTTCTCACGACTCAATTCACTCCTACCAACGCTCACAGTCTCAAAGTATAAAATAATTTCAGAGGTATTTTGTTATTTTAAAATATAAAATAATTTAAAAAAATAAAGTCTTATTAATAATTTTTTTAATATTACACTTTAAATGTAAAGAGAATTAAAATGATATTGTAGCGTAATAATTGTGTAGGGGTATTTTTAAAATTCTATATATTTTTTAAAAAATAAATTTGTAAAATGTTATTATTAAATTTTATTGATATGTATAATTTTATTTTAAATTGCCTTATAATTTAAGATGAAAAAAGTATAATAGAAGACGTGAGAGATGAAGGTATCTCTTAGTTTACAAGATATTATATTTTATACTTGCTTTCCAGTATAGCGCTAAAATTAAATGGAGGTTAATTTCCAGAAAAAATGAATTATAATTACAAGTTAAAATTAAATTTAGCCGATTGCCCTCCGAAAGTATATGTGGGAATTATGTGCTGTGAACCAAACCCTGTTTCAAAAAAAAAAAAAAAACTAATTAACCGAATCATTATTTCCATTTGTGAAGTCAGTCCTCAAATGCTTGATTAGTTGGTCTGATTTTTTATTTTCAGCCGGAAAAAATCTGTGTGTGTTTTTTCTTAAGCGTTTGCTTGAGAAAAAAGTATGAGTTTTTTTTTTCTTTTTTTGAAAGTGGATTTGGTCAACCAGTATGTTTTTCTCCCAATGTTGCTTTCTTGTGGAAGACGGTAATATAATGCACGCTGATAATATAATTAAGAAAAAAAATGTAAGCTGTGGTCTTTATTTTTTTTAATTAATTTCTTGACCTGAATTTTTTTATTAATTTAATCTCTAAATTTTAATTTAAACAACTTAATTTTTATTCTGTAGATGAACTAAATTCATTAATTGAGAAAAGTATGAGAACTAAAAATTTTATTATCCATAATATTAATATATTATTGCCCAACATTTTTCACTTCTTTTTCGTATAAAACTGTAATATTAATTTATGAAATATGTTAATGATATTATCATATGAAGTTGATCATAAGCCAAAAATAACATAATTTATTATTTAAGACACTAAAATTAAATTGATATGAATAACCTTTCAAGAACTACATTACCTGCCAATGGTTTTCCATGATATTCTTGACCGAGTAGTTTATACTTTTATTGCTTTTCCCTGGAATGACTACACTGCTTGCGGGAAAAATATGTATATATTGCTTCAAGCCTACAAGTGGGTTGGCATGCTTTTTTCTTTTTTTTTAATATTTTAATACTTTCCAGGATAAAATTAATTATATTAAATTTCATACGTATTTCTAAATAATAAAAAATATATTTTAATTTTAGTTTTTATTTAATATATATAATTTTGCGAAAAAGCTAGAAGAAATAGATGGGTTGAACTTGAAAGGATGATGACAAGAATCTGGCTCGTACACGATTTAGGCCTCTCTCTTGCCAAACTGGGCGCTTGCCTCTCTCTCATGCTTTGTTAGTTTCTTTTCCTTTTTTTCTTTTTTCTTTTCTTATTTTGGACGCCAAAGCTTGTCAATTATCTTTTAGAAGAGTTAATATACTTTTTGAAAACAAAAATGTTACGAAGTGGAGTAGATATTTGTAAATATACATTTTTGTTAAAAAAAATTAAGTGAATTGAGTTCTATAGGCTGACTTGGACAAGGCATGTATTCAAATTTAAAGAGTATTTATAAAAATATTTATTATCTATCAACAAAGTGTTCACATTAACGGCAATATTTAATTTTACAATCTTGTAAATTAACGATCAGATGCTTGCCAACCTTATAAATATACAAGGGAAAAATAAATTTTTTTAATTCTTTAATTTTTAACTCGTAACTTAATTTCTCAACTATGATTTATTGTAAATTAGTCTTTTAACTTTTAACTTACTTATAACTCAATTCTTATTTTTTAATTTTTTAAAAAATTATCCTTGTCAAATAAAAGAGAAAAAAATGCTCATATCTTATTCTAAAATATTCTTCTCTTACTTCTTGATATAGAATCTAAGCTAGTATATAAAAAAAAATAATAAAAATTGAGGGATTGAGATGTAGTGAGTTATAATTGAAAGATTGAATTACATGTGAATTAAAAGTTAAAGAATTAAAAGATTAATCTTCCCAATATACAATTATAAACAAAGTAAGAAGACATAAAGTGAATAATGAAGTTTTTAGTTCTTCAAGTTTGCTTCAGTATCAATTTTATCTCTTAAGTTTAATTTTTGTCGATTTGGTCTCTCATATTTTTTAAAATTATTATGTGAGTCTTTTAAATTTTAAAATAATGTAAAGTATATTGATAACTTAGTAGGTTTATGTAACTAAATGAGAGAAAATTAATTTAATTTTTATCAGTATAATTCCTTATATTGTGTTTTGTTCTCTTGTTTTTCAAAATTTTAGAATCTATTATTTTATACCTAGATGATTATTTTCATTTTCATTAATCTAAATGGTTGCTATCATTATTTTAATTTTTATATCATCAAATTTTAATAATAATTTTTTTAAAAATAATAAATACTAAATTAATAATTAAAATAAATTTTAAAAATTAAATAAAAATGATTACATCAATAATTTAGACGAACTTAAATACTTAAAACATGTAAAAATATTAAAATACGTGATTGCATGACGTCAGCTTGCAGCGCAAGCCATTATTAATGGATTGGGCCAAAAATCCAATATAAAGCCCAGTATTGGCCCCCATCAGCTTTTGTTTTCTTGACGGGAAATGAGAGTATGAGACGGCGCTTTTGTAGGACATCTGATTCTGAAGTGTTGCGTCGTGCCTGTGCCCTCGAGGCTTCGAGCTTGGCGTCGACTCGTCAATGGCTTTAGCTTGCAGCAGAATGGCGAGGAGAATACCTATTTCGTCGATCAAAGCAGCTCTTAATTCCAATGTTCGAAACTCTTCTTTCTGCAGATCAGCCTCCATTTTCACCACTCCTTCTAACTCTACCTTCACTCCCCTTCTTCGATCCTTCTTAATCAGGTTTCAATTTCGTCTTCATTTCTTATATTTAACAGTGTGTGTCTTCAATATGAATTTTTCTTCTCCCCTTCTCTAACTCTGTTCGCCGGCAGGACTGCAGCAGAACTAGGATGCCTACAGTCAATGTTGCCACTTCACAGTGTGGTAGCGGCGGCCAGAATGACGTCTTGTTTGAGCGCTACTTCTCGGAGTTGTCGAGCGCTTTCTCAGGGTACTCTCTGCTGCAACTCTCCCGGCCCCTAATAATTTCATTTTGAGAAGATTTTTAAGTGGTATGAGTGGCTTCCTCGCTTTATTCCTCGATTGACTTTCCTCTGAATTATCGGTTATGTATGTTCGTTGCATCTGCACTGCACAGAATAAGCATTCACCTGGAAGATTTTGAGAAATATTTAGGTTGGACCAATTTCACTATCTATAATTGTAATTTCCCGAACACTCTTGACATGAGGGGGCGATCGCACTCATAATTTGGTTTATTCTATTACTGTTTCTTGCTAAATTGAAGCGACTTAAGACCTGTTGGTTTCACTGGTGTGAGGTGGTTAATAGAAAGGATTGAAATGAAATGGATTGAAAAAAATAATATTTTTAAAGGATGTGATGATTCCTATATTTATATTATATATTAATGAGTTTTATATTACTTTTCATAAGATGGAAGGGTGATTTAATTTATTTTTATTTTTATTTTTTCATTCCATTTCATTTTATTTCTTTTTAGTAACTGAGCGAGACCATAGAATATTCTGGTTAGCGGCATGTAGTCTGCTTGCCTCTAGATTCTTTAATGGAGTATCATGTTTTTAGGTGGTTTGGTTTTGATGGTTTTTCAGTAAAGGAACTGGCAGGGTGTGAGAAAGAACAAACAAGTTAAAGTGCCTTGACTGGGAGGTTTAATGTCAAGTTCCAACTAATTGTAAATTTGGTTCTGCAGGCACATAGTTAATTTGGAGTTTGCGGGACCTGCCAATCATGGTCCAATGCTTCATTATCAAGTATGAAAATGGAAAGCCATTGTTTGACTTTTAAAAGCATCTCAACAATATTGCAGGAGAGATATGTGTTCTGTCATCTCAATAGGTGTCTGTCCAGTGCTGCCTAAAAATCTGAATCTAGATCCTATGAGAATAAGGCTCTTGCTCGAGTTAATCTTCCATCCCATAAATATCATTAGTTTCTTGGTGGATTTCTTATTGGAATCTTGCTTGGGTCTTGAAAGCTAAGACCTTTTAGTGTTATGCTCTATACGAGTAGCAAACTGATGAATCAATGACACATTGGATGAGCATTTGGCAAGGGATAAATTTTTGGTATCTATCCTTTACATAATTTTGGTTTGGTGGCCTAATGGACTAGCTTAAGCTAGAGGAGCCAATCCGTCATCTTGATGTGATACTCTTCCTACCTCTTACCAAATTACGCATGTGTAATTTTACACAAAATCTTAAAACGTATGAAGTCAGAAAGCAATTAAAGTTGTCTAAAGAGGGTGTATTTTCATGTGTCTTTATGTGTTAACAATGATGCATTTAATTAATAACATCACCTTGGAATTCTACCACTGGGATGCGTTGGGTGTATAAATATACCACCTTAAATTTACCCTAAATTGATGATTTTTCATAGAAACATTAAGTACAATGTAATAGTGTAATTGCTACTTTCGCCAGATGGAATTGATAGGACGCGAGACCTACAGACTTTTTTGAAGGTGGGGTCTTTTGGAGAACCATAGATTCTGTTATTCTCATCCTCGATCATGCCTAATTATGTGTTTAGTCTGATATATACATACATACATCTATCTTGATCAGAAGCAAGAGTGCAGCTTATAATTTAGATTATGTGCGCGTTAACCATTGTAAGTTCTCTATGTACACTACGTCATCGCAAGTGCATTTCATGTGAACATTTTCTTCCTTTTGCGTTGATGTTCTTCAATATCTTGCTGATGAGCTGTGGTAGGAAGAGAGAAGAAAGAAGAGAGAATTAAGAATAGAGAAAACAGAGATTGCTGAATAGTACTCTGAATACTTCATCAAGCACAGTATAGCTTCAGATTACACATCCTTCACATATTATATAGATACAAACCTGATATTTTTATTCTCTTAACAGTCTTAACTAACTCACTACCAACGAAACTACCTATAATATTTATTTTACAAGTTACACATAACTTTCTTTCTTTCTTTTTCTGTGAACATGTTCAATCTCTTTCTAGTCACAATTTGCTGTGTTTTCTACCTGAGCATGTTACTAATTGAGCCTTTGTTTACTTGGTTCTTCAGAGCTTGGTCTATCAGTTCCAAGGTGACCAGCTAGAGGAGAGGACTATGCCATTAAAGTTTCGGAAGGCTGAATTCGAGGTTTTGTTATATTAATGCATGAAAAGGGACTATACTGACTGTAATTCTTTCCGGCTGCAAAGCAAGTTTCAGGAGATTAAAAATTAGTTGGCCGAATTTAATGAAGCACACTAATTATAATTTGTGAATGGTGCATCTTACTATAATTTTTATTTTTATATATGCTTTTGGTGTATTGATTCCTATCCTACTCATGCCTCGAATTGCCGTAGCATGTAGATTATGTAATTCCAAGCCCCATACGGCACTATGATTTAATTTCACCATTTAATATAAATTTTTTAATATGTAACATTTTGTTTTCTTAAACAAAACAAATAATAAATTTATTATACACGATTTAGAGTTTAAAATCCAGCAGTTGTAGGAGAATTGTAGGATGTGAAAGGAAGGAAAAATAATGTAGGCGTGAGTTATTTTATTATATAACAAATTACTTTATTTTCAAATATTAATTTTTTGTGATTAGCATCATTGTTGTCAAACTCTAAAGTTAGCCGTTTGAGTTTATTTTTTTATATTTCTAACTTATAAAATTATATTAATTTGTACATGAACTCATGAAAATTGATTAAATTTTTAAGTTGATTCTTTGAGTTTATTATTTTTATATTTTTAACTTATAAAAATTATGTCAAATTATTTATAAATTCACATTAGATGCAATTTAAATTGAATTTGTTAAATTTATCAATTTTTTACTGAGTTAAGTGAGTTAGAGATATATTATGTATAACTCTTTGTACGGCTTGGTTAAAAAGAGCAATAAAACTTGAAAGGTAAAAAATTAATATTAATAAAAAAAGAAATACCAAAAATAAATTGTCCCATTTTAAAATTTTTATATTGAGTATAACGTTTAATTTCAATAATTTAAATGTAAAATATATTTAAATTAAATTATAGTTATATTTTATATTTTAATTATTTAATCATATATTTTTAATGGTTATTTATAAATATAAGTATGTTCTTACAAATTTATTATTTGAGTTTATATTCATGTTATGAGTTTAGCAGCCTAGATCAGCATTATTATTATTTTTTATATACTCCTTTTGTTAAAAAATGTAATGTATTTTGTGAGAATTTGGATATTTAAAAATATAAAGCATTTTTAGTCTTTGAAAGTGCAATCATTATTTTTTTTTAAAATGCCCCTATTAATAATAATTTTATATTTATTGTAGGGTGTTTAATAAGAGTAAATATGAAAAGATAAATTAATTTGAAAGTAGGTAACTATTTCATTGGAGGGTGAGATTTGATAAAAAATGTCTTATATTTTTGAATGGAGGGAGTAGAAGTTTAGATATTGTATTTTTACTGTTATTAAATTATAATTCAAAAAGTTTATTTTATTATTTTTTTTCCCCAACGTGTCTAAGAATTTTGCTTTTGTTGGTTGTTGGTCACGTGACGGGTAGAAACTTCCATTGATTCAGCGTGCCCGGCTTCATGTTGAAGTTTTGTTTGGAAGTCTTTGTTTACTTGTGATAGGTAGATAAATGGACAAAAATCACTTTTTAGATGACAAAAAATTATATTAAAATGTAAAAAAAAAGCCAAAACTAGATATTTAATTAGTTAAAATTCAATAAGAAAAATTAAATAGATATTTAATTAGTTAAAATTCAATAATAAAAATTAAATAAAGTTAAAATTCTATCAGCCACCAGATAATTGAAATCAGCAACAATAAAAAAAAAGAATGGGAAAAATACCTTGTGTAAATTTAGGACAAAATTACATTTAGATATGGTAATTAATAAAGAGAAAGCACCACAACGCAAATCCTTAACGAATTTCCACTATTTTTAACAGTGAAGCACAAGAAAGCCAGAAAGAGACAGAGAACGAAGAACAAGGTTAAAATTTATTGGGTAAATAGGTAGGTATACGCATCAATATCTCTCAACCAGAAACGAAAACACGAATTAAAATTCTGAAATTCCCTGTCAACGAAGATCAGAAGCACAAGACTGGTAGACGAAACACCATGAAGGTTAGCTCAGTTACGTTCCATTAGAACGACAGAGAAAGAAATTAAGACGAGCCCGTGTTACATACCCAGCTTAGCTTGTTGATGATGATATCATTATATTGAGAACCCAGAAAGCCAGAAATGGTGGTGTGAGAGAGAGAGGTCAAGAAACAAGAATAATGGAGATGTGGAGTGGAGGAATGAGTTGTAATGCGATCGAAGACATAGTAATAATGGGAGGATTGATAGGAGTTCAATTTGTGTATGCTGGCAGTGCTGTTCTTATGAGCTTTCTCATGGCTTTGGGTCTCAGCTCTCTCTCCATCGTCATCTACACTTCCTTCGCCACCTTCCTCGTTCTCTTACCATTCTCTATCTACTTTGAAAGGTCTCATCTCTCTATCATTACTTTTCTTTTTTTAATTATAATCCTGATCGAATCACAATCAAGCATATAGATCAATCTCATGCAGGAGTAAATGGCCCAGAAAATTAAGTCTCAAGTTTGTTATCCAGCTATTGATGCTTTCGTTTGGAGGGTAAGAGATCATCATGTCTTCATATGTCTTGAATCTGTGTTAATTATCATCATAAACGTTTTTATTTATTTAATTGTACGAAGGAATTAAAGTTTCATGGAGGCATATAGGGTTGATGGGTGCTTCAATTCAATCCCAGTAGTGTTAATTATTCCAAAGAATATCTTCAGTATTAACTTGCCCCTTTATAATCGGAGATACATTTGTGTAGGATGGAAAACAAACGTATGTCAATTGTTTACTGTTAAATTAGTAAACAAGAAAGAAATAAACAAATCTCAAGGTTTATTGGTAGAGAAAATAGTTTCTTTTTTGCTTACCTCCTGTCCTTATGTAAGGAAAATTTTAAAAGCTTTTTGTAATTAATTTTTTTTCCAATTTTTTCTCTTATTTATTTATTTATTATCATTTGAATTTTCATACGATAATTTATTGTGATTATTAATTGCAAAGAATAATATTTTTTTTAAAAAAAGTATATATCTTTTTAATAATTTTAACAATATATCTACCATTTCTTAATAAGGTCGAGGTTGTTTAAGAATACATTTTAATATTTGATTAACTTTTTAACAATTTTAAGCATATACCCATCATGCTTTGGATTCTTCTGCTTTTCTTAGATCTTCGTATTGTAATTCCCTTTGGTTCATAGTGTAAGACATTTAGTAGTTTTTTTTAAAATTATTTTCACCCATGTATTCGTTGATGTACGATGATTAACTAACTAACCATACAATACATAAGAAATTGTGTATGTTATTTGTAGATAAGGACAAAAATTAAAAAAAAATAAGTCAATTTTTTATGAGATGTAGAAAAAAAAATTAAATTTTCTTAATATATATGATACATGTTGAAAGTTTCTTATATTCATTGGAGTAATATTTAGTGATGATAATCTGGGATTTGGATTTTGCACAATTCATGATATTTTGCCCAGTTTGACCCAAAAAAACGTGATTTTTTTATGTAATAGTTGTCATCGCGTTGCATTAATTATCTAGTTTAAGTTTTAAAGCAATATTTTATTTAATTTAGCACATCAAATGACATGGCAGCTATGAAATCGAAATAAATTGAGAATATATTTCTGACCATATTAGTTTGAAAATTTTGAGGCTTCACTGAGTCGCCCTTTTGATTGATTGAGTGTTGTAAATTAACAACTAATTAATCATGTTTGACCAAAATGAATTCAATTAATTCCCAGATAAAAAGTTATTTAGAATTTCCAATAAATTTATTTAATTCGTTTTATTAATTATTGCTGTGTGTAGGGTGACTTTGTTCCAGTCGTTATTCCTTAAAGGAATAAATCTAACTTCGCCAGCAATGGGAACTGCCATGCCCAACCTTGCCCCAGGTCTTATCTTTATCATCGCATGGACTTTTGGGTAAATATAATTTTTTTTTTGTTTATAATCAAATTGAACTTTCTTTGAACTTTGAATCATAGGCATATAATTCAAGAAACTTTTAAAATGTGATAACGAACTCTTTAAACTGTTAAATTATGCAAATAAATATTTTTAGAACAATTATCGTCTGATCTCCTTGAGCATTTTCTTTTGCTGTTAATTTGTTGTTTTGCTCACAAAACGTGACAAGTCAAAACAAAATTACCTACATTTGGACCAAACAAGGAAGGAAGGAATAAATTAGGAAAGAAAATATCACACTGGATTTGTCTACTTTAATTGTATTTTGCGTAGCATAGAAATCTAGATCAACCTATTTAGTTGAATTATTAAACCTTGATTGATTTGATAAAATAATTATTTTATTATAGTTTGACTATGATTTTGACTATTAACCCTTAAGCCAGTGCTTTGACTGGTTCAATAATTAATCCGATATTTGATATCTTGGTATTTTTATTTTTTAGCACAATTTAAGTTGATACATGAATTGGTTATCTAGCCGAGACTCAAATTGATCACTTTTGAGACCCAATTTCATCCCAACAAACCCAACTTCACCTAAAAAATACTTGTCAACCTTGTGGGCTAAATGGGTTGACTCATGTTAGATTATTCATTTATTTTTTTTTCCCTTTTCTCTTTTGAATATTGAACCCCTCAATCAAATATAAATTTTTTAATTAAGATTTAACATTATTGTATTCTATTATTGACATAAACTTATAATTAATATTCGTACAAAACATGTTTAAGATTTGATGGATGCATTATGTTAATGCCATGTCAACAAAACAAACATGGTTTCAGCCATCTTATGATCTTAATGGAGGTTTTTTTTTTTTTATGGGTAAAAGAGCCAAGTTGACTCCTAAACTATAGATCTAAAAGTGTATAAAATTTTAAATTCATTTTTAATGTAATATTTTTCTTTAACTTTTACAAATAGTGCAATTAGACTCTTACTGTTAGCAAAATTAATTTTTGTTCATTTTTTTGTATGTTGATACTCTTTTATATCATTTTTTGATTAACTAACTGTCAAAGTTAATTTTTGTTAATAATAAGATTTAGATTGCAGTACTCTTAAAAGTTAAAAGGGCACATTATACAAAAAAATAAATTTAAAGTTTCAGACATTTCTAAATATATAGTTTAGAGGCTAATTTACCTTGTTTTAATCTTTTTTAAACTATAAGAACTAATGTTGAGACATGTTAAATGAAAGAGATGAGGAACAGTAAAAATAAACTAAACTACATAGACTAAAAGTAAACACACAATTAAAATATTAGGACCTAAAATGGTACTTTTACACATAGAAATGTTTACACATGATCTATGCTTAAATAAAAGATCATCCATCTACACATAACTTATATGAGTGTGAATGAATTTTAAAGAGTAGTTTCTTTTCTCTATTGCATACAACAATTAAGCAGCATTATTTAGGACAAATTATTTTTTCAATTGAATATTAATTTTGGATGGAATATGGATGTGGCAGGTTAGAGAAAGTGGAACTAAGTTGCAGGTATAGTAGAGTGAAGATCATAGGGACAATGGTGTGCATGATTGGAGCTTTCACTATGAGCATCATGCAGAGCGCTACTCCTCCTCCATCCACGTCAGCCTCAGAGCTACAGCCTTCTCATACACCCTCCTTACCTGATCATTCCTCCCATTCTTCCCTGTTTGACTCTGACAAAATCATTGGTTCTCTCTACCTCATGGCTGCTGTCTTCATGCTTTCCTCCAATGTTGTCCTCCAGGTACATATTTTCTTTTTCTTCTTTGCTTTTAATATTGATCCAATTAAGCACACTAAAAAAGAAAATATTTTACCCATGTAATTTTACCCATGTAATGAGATTGTGATTCTCTCTATCTAAACCTAATGGTGCATGGGAATAGCAACGGGAAAATTCTCTCCAAAGACTAAAAGGCTTAAATATTTGGAAATATGTCCCAAAATATAGAAATAAAACCTACAAAGAACCATGGTCTTTAAAGGACAATATATTTTTTTGGTAAATAAAATATAATATACTCTTTCTTTTTCAGCACTAAATTCATGAATGACTTCTGCAAGCCAGTGCAGAGAAAGGAAAGGTATTTGGTATTTTTCTCCGAAAACATAATGTCTCTTCAGGACCATAGTCCCCAGTAGGTTTTATATCAAAATTAAAACTTATGCCCAAATATTTGGACCTTTTTAATCCTTGTAGCCAATTTTTTCTCAATAATAAAATAATGATTGATTACAAAATTGAACGTATGATCCTTTCATAAGTCTGAGTCGCCTGATTTATATTAGTATTGTGTTTGTACTATTTCTTAATTTAAACCTTCAAGGCATTAGGTTCATGAGATTTTTTCACTTAGACATATATTTCTTATTCAATCTCACTTTATTTGACATGAAAATTTTCCCCTATATTAATTAGCTCACACTTTGACCCCAACACCATACTTTTTGGATGTTATATTAATTAGGCTTTTACGTTGGGAGATTTTCCAGCACCAATGACATTAAGTGCAATGACATCCTTGTTAGGAGCCATTACCACCATTATTGCTCAGTTGCTTGAGGAACACTCATTTGACACTGCTTCTCTTGTCAACTTTGGATCCCTTGCTTCCTATTCTTTTCTGGTAATTTATTTTCCTCTCTCTTATTTTTCTCACTCACTCAAATTATATTTTACATGTTTATTATTATAGCTTTCAACTTCCTTGAAATCCATTATCATATGTCAAAACCTCAAACAGTAAGCATTCAACAGAAATCAGTAAAATCTAGCTACTCCCTTTGTTTTTTTATTATTATAAGATAAAATTATCATATGCTATATTGTCTTTTTAATAAACAAAGCTACTAAACTCAAAAAGTATTTATTTTATTTTTTTTAAATTGTTCCTCATAAAGTTAAAGTTTACTTTCATGAAACAAACTTGTTTCATTAATCACAAGGAGAGTTTAGTCCAATTCTTTTTAAATTGTAGACATAATTATTAGAATTAATAAACTTTCTTAAACTATGTTAGTTTGTTAAAATTGGTTTATATTTGAAAATGGAGAGAGTATGAAATCTATTTCTAGGTTTGCATACTACCTCTTGCCTTATATACAAGTCTCTTCTAATTATCTCATCGGAACTAATGGAAAATAGTTGAATTATTGATGTTGAGTTAAAAAGGAAAAAATCAATTTACCCTATTAAATACATTTTTGTATTTAAAAACAGTTTCTTTCCATATGTAACATTTTACTCAACTCATAAAAATTGTGAGAAGATAAAATCAGAAGAAAGTAATTAATGATCCACCTTTTTATGTAGAGTTACCTATAAAAAGGATCACCACATTTCTTTTGGAATGTGAATTATATATAAAACTGAAGGAAGTGTATGTGTATATATATAAATATATGGTGGCTCTTTTAAAGGGACTTTTTTTTTATTTTTTTTTATCATGCATTTTAAAATAAGAAAATTGTTAAAATAATTAATGTTATTAAATATAATATATCATTAATTACTAATAATTAAATGGCAAATGCAGGCAGGAGGGTTGGGTGGAATATGCCTAAGCTTTAATGGATGGGCTCTTAAGAAGAGAGGTCCTGTGTTGGTCTCTATGTTCAGCCCTGTTGCCACTGTCACCTCCCTCCTCTCTTCTTTCACTCTTGGCTATTCCACCAATCTTGGAAGGTGTGTATATATATATATATATATTTATATGCTTCATTAAATTCGTCTCTCAAAATTCAAATCCAAATCTAAATCCATCTCTCTTATCTGTAACAATGGCCTGTTATTGTTGCAGCATTGTGGGGATGTTGCTGATGTTCACGGGGCTCTACTTTGTGCTGTGGGCAAAAGGAAAAGAAGATTACGACAATATTAGATATGGCTCAGAGAGTGAGTTTGATGCAGCGAAGCCTCTCCTTAGTTGATTTCTTTTCTTTTGTCAACAAGTAATGCAGTTCATCACTTTCAATCATACATCTCTAGCTATAGATTTAGAGATAGCAGGCTAGATTTTACAGTGTGTTGCTGACTAGCCAGCTAGGTAAGTTTTAGAATATTCAGATACATCTTCATATCTAATTAAGGCATAAATCATAGACAAGATCAACATATATATATATATATATATCACAACTATATAATTCTAGTCCTATTTATAGGCAAATAGAGTATTTGTTATGGTCTTATTTATAGAAAACTATTGTGATTTTGTGGATATCTTTACCCTTTTGTCCTTATTAAATGCTTGAATGTTTTATTTTTAATGCATTTATATTTAATAAAGTAAAGTTAAAAACTTAATGAATTTTTAGATAAAGTTAGTTTTTTTTTGTTAAGATAAAATATGTTAGAAGTGACTGAGAAATAAACTAGAGGGATTATGTGTATGTGTGTGTGTGTGTGTGTGTGTGTATCTTGCATATTAATTAATTATTAATCTCAAAATGTAAGTTTGATGTCTCACGTTAAAAGACTGCAAATGTTGGTATTGTAGTTCTTTGCAGATTGCAGCAGCACCATGCTGCATGATCCATGGGATTCACCCAAGTCAAGTGTCTATCTCTCTCATTAATTACCATGTAGGACCCATTTAACTTGGGGAGAAATCCTTGCAAGAGCATGGGTGATGTGGTGTGGTGCATCAAATTCATGCAAGAATTTCTCTTAACTCGGATTTATTTTTCTCATTGCAACATGGTGCTGCTGATTCAGACATACTCAGGGGCTTGTATGTTGAGGTGTAGAAAGTACCCACGTTTTCATTTGTTTTGTTTTGCAGAAGCATAAAAGGATGAAATGCTACAATATGAAGTATCAGTGACAAAAAGGAATTTCTTTAGACTTGGTCTCAAAGAAGATTTATAGAGGTTTCTTGCGTTGGAGGAGTGGAACTTTACAGCCTATATACGCACAAGTTCTTTTTATTAGAAAATTCATTTGGGTTAGATTCAATTCACTACTTTAAAGATAAAGCACAAGATCTTGTGCTTGCTTGTTCATCATTCTTACTATTTAATTTGTTAATCCATCTCACACCCTTACTAAAAAATCAACTTATTAGGGTTGTTGCTGTACATGTGTATAGGAGTTTTTAACTTCTTTTATTTTATTTTATTTGAGGGGGTTAATCTGTCATGGTTAGGTTAATTAGGTTCATTAACAATATCACCAGAGTCATTTGTGGTGGTAAATAATATATATTCATATAATTATAATTAGTTAGACTAGATGGGCCTCTATGCCTATGCTCTTTTGGTAATAAATCATCTCCATTCAAGTTATCTCAAGCCAAGTCGATCCCTACATCCAAATCCTTTTCTACCATTAATTCAATTGAATGAATTATATGCAATAATATTTTGAAAAAGAATGCCGACTTTGGAATAAGCCAATTGATTAAATATGTAAATATTTTAATTGCATCTCGTCTCGACCCTGTGATGGAACCAAACAACAAAACGAGGAACTTTGGGAATTTGGAAGAGAGCTTTTCTCTCTAGGGCTCAGGAAGTTTTCCTCTTCTTTCTTGTGGGATCTTTTTGCTTTTGGCTCTTTTCCTGAGTATGGCTTCTATTAAGAAGGATGGTTTTCTTGATCAAGAACGGTGTAAGCTTCACAAGTTGTTTGCTGAAATTCTTGATAACCGAAGATTTCATCCATCACAACTTCAAGCATACATATCTCGGTTTTGGAGACTAAGGGGTGATGTTCAAGTCGTTCAATCTTCCCATAATCGTTTCCTTCTTTACTTTAGCAATATCTTAGTTTTGCCCGTTCCACCAACATTTGCTAACTCAATAGTCAATAAGGTCAGATCCAAGGAATTTTTGGTTAGAAATTGAACTATTACCATAAATTAGCACGTATTTATAGTTATAAGGTTAAATTCCAACTTATGAGGGGTTAGGAAATTTTGGAAGATTGAAACTTTCAAACTGATAATGCCACCACCAATTGAAATCTTGCTAGGGAGGTCTAAGAAGAAGAGGACTAGGATTGAGGAGTGTATAATGAGAAGAAAAAGAGGAACTACTTAACAAAATGACAAGTATATGTGGTTGAGGGAGGTGGGAGAGTTGACACGCCCAAACTTCAAATTGAGAAATCGAGTAAGAAGGGCGTGAAAATGACCTCTAATTTTTGTCACAAGTAAAGTTACAACAAGTTACATTACAAGTAGGTTAGAATTTTCACTTGTGTTTTATATGTATTGATTAATGTTTAAATTGCTTTTCACTTGACCGTTTATGTATATCTTGTGAAGAAGCCATCTACTATTAAGGAGGCACGACTAAAAAGTCTAGGAAATCTAATAATGTGGCTAGTCATAGGAGTAAACTGAGACACCCTCTCAGCATTAGACAACTCAGAGTAGCCAAGTGACATAGACATAGCACTCTATTATTTGAATAGGACTAGGAGAGAAGAGTGGCTCCCTCATCCTTGTTTGACAATATGGAAGGGAGGGAGAATCCTTTCCCCTCCAAGCTCTCCCTTCAAATTGTGAGGATATGGAAGGATTTCTCCACCTCCCCTCCCTCTCTCCCTCCAACCAAACACAGTGTTGTATGAGATATGGACACATGGCTCTCATGATTAGTCAATCGCCCCAAAGATTGCGGTCCCTATTTCGTCTCCTTCTCTCCGACTAACATCATCACATGCTGTTGTTAAGTCATTTTTGTAATAAAAGGCTAAAAATATATTACTAGCCAAATAAATTATAGAGTGTCATTGATATTTTAAGGATCTCTCTCAACATTTTACATCTTTGGAGAAATAAGAGCAGATAATTCAAGTGGTGTGGATTTATTCAATTGGGCTTAAAATACTCGAACATATAAAACAAAACTTATATAGCCAAATTTGATTCTAACACCTCAGGCTTTTATGTTTATTTGAGCTGGTTCAAATAATCAAATCATTAAATATTATTTTATTTTCTTAGTCAATTTCAATTTTTATCTTAAAAATTTTATCTTGTTTTAATTTTATTTAAAAAATGATAAAATGAATTCATGTATTCAAGTTAAACCTATTTGAGTTTAGATTTGACTTGGATTTTTTTAAACTTATTCAAACAGCCCAAATAAGTAAAAACAAAGAAAATTTTCTCACTTCTCAAGCTCAACTCTAAAATTTTTCATATTTATTCAGATTGACTTGTTAGTCTTGACTCAAATTATTGACTCTAAGAAGAATTTAGTAAACTTCTACAATTACTTTTTTTGTTGGACAAACTTCTACAATTACTTTAAAAAATACATAAACTACTGCAATTACTCTATATTCTATTTGGAAAAAAATTTGTTCTAGTTGGTAAAATTAATTACTCGAATTCCTGTTTGTCTGCTTAAAGGAATTTAGTAACTTTATTTAGTTTACCTAATATTTTTTATAAAATAATTATGATGATGAATAATTTAAAAATTTAAAAATTCATTTAATTTTTGAAAAATACAACATATAATTTTAGTGGATAGCTAGCCTAATACTCGACATTTAATATATCAATAACATGTATAGTAACATTAATATTTATGATTACATACATTAAGAAAACAGAATAAAAATCTTGTGCAAGTGCACTGTGAATTTAAGTACAATAGTGACATTAATAAATAATAAATGTATCGTATTATTTTTAAGAATATTTTCTTAAAAATATATATTGAAAAAAATCCCATATAAAAAAAATTCTTCTTTAGAATTTTATAGAGGATCATTTTACTCAACAAAAAAGAGAGTCATTTTAATTTGACAAACATGTGGAAACTATAATCAATATCAAATATAAAATTTCTCACAAGGTTCACTAATCATGAATAGTAATGCAATTAATCCTTTAAACTCACGCATGCAATGCATAAAATCCACCTACTTTAAACTAAAACACCGACATACTTAATTCAAAATTCAGAAATCATACATATTCATGTCTCAATTCTCAAATAATATTAGAATAATAGCGTTTTTATGTAGAGGTAAAAGTAATAGAAACAGATTGAGTACCTGCCGACTCGGAATAATGAATTAGAAGGAAGATGATGGGAGCGAGGGAGTGGAGAGTGGTGTGATAGTGTGAATTATTCTCAATTAGTGTTTAAACTATGATATTAATTAATTATTGTAATAATGATCTTAATTAATTAAGCTATGATAGAGTGGTGGAATAATGAACTTTTGGTTTGGGACGTCAACTAATGTTTGGGAGTGGCAATCTTTGGTCGCCAAAAGCCAAATAAACTGTCACTGTTTCATGTCTCTCTACTCTCAGTCCACGCCACGCGTCAGACTTCCGTATTCCTTCACTTTAGCCCCCTGCCCCGCCTCAATTCATGTGTGTGTTTGTGTGTGTGAATGTTAATGCAACAAAACCTGCACATATTTTCTTCATAGATTAGTGGTTTAATTTGTTCGTTGGTCTAATTGAAGCATGACATTAAAAAAATAGAGGAAAAATATTACTATCGGTTTTTGTAGTTTTATCATGTTTTGTTTTGTTGGTCCTTATACTTTTTTTTCATTATTCTAGATCTCTATAATTTTTACTTGTCTATAATAGTATAATGTTAGTTCCTCTATTATTAAATATTTATAAAAAGATAATGATTTAATATTAACAATGTTAAATTATCTGACATTTAACAATAACATCTTTTCACTATGTCTCAAACAGAGGTAAAGCTTTATTTCTTTCATTTTTACGTAGTTCTAACTTGTCTCTTAATTCACCTCTACTTTTGTTTTGTTCATCATGTCAAGATACCCTGTTTTTAATTTTTTTTTAAAAATTGGAAGCCATTGATTGTTGATTGTTATTTTTTTTTTTGTTAATGTTGATGTCAAAGTTTATTTTGTCTTCATGTAATCGGATGTAATCTTTAGTTTCTTTCAATTGATCTTCATTAATTTATATTTTGTGAGTGCTCTATATTCCCTCTGTTTTTATATATAAAAAAAAACTGTATCACGTACACATTAAAAAAACAGTTAATTATAATAATTATATTTAAAAATAAAAAAATTAGATTAAAATTATGAGGGGTAATTTTAAAAAAATATGTAATAAATGCAAATTAAGATATGTGATTTTGCTATAAAAAATCAAAAGTGATAGTTTTTTTAACAAATAAAAATAGAAGAAATTTTATCTTTCTTATTTTAACATTTAATTTAATATCATTGGTTACACGTGAGATAATTTAATATTATTAGTATTGCATTATCATCCCTCTAAACATATTTGAAAATATAAGGATTAACTTACATATGAGAAAAAAATGAAAGGGGAAAGTGAAGCAGAAGAAGCTAACGAAGGAGGGAAGTTGAAGAATGAGCAAGTAAGAAAAGAAGATGGATGATGATGATGATGATGATTTGTGTTGGGAAATGAAGATTCCACCGAAAAGGAAACACAACAAGAAAGAGGCAAACTTAATCAAGAGTGCATCGCAGGTGATGGATCACGCTGGCAACTTAATAGGGCACACAAATCACAGCTTGTTTTCTTGTGATAGTATTTACTAATTAAAAGTAAACTAATAAATTAATTTTTAAATTATAGGTTTAGAAAGGTTTGAAAACTTTTGCAAACGGCCCAATCTGACTTGTATAGTTAACAAAAATTAACTTTAATTATTAATTAATTATAAAACAACAAATAAAAATAAAAATTATAAAAAAATTATAATAAAAAGTTCACAAATTATAGAAAAGGACATCAAAAAGTTACTCACTCTATCTCAAATTATAAAATACTTTTAAACAAAATCTTATATATTAATAAATCGCATTAAATACACTTAAAAACATTATTTTTAAAAAAATAAAAAAATAAAATTTTAAAAATATTTCTCATTTAATAACCTTAAATCTACACTTAATTAATATTAAATAAAGATAGAAAGGATAATATCGAAATAAGCCTATTTAATAAAATCTTAATCTTATAAAAGTGTCTTATATTTTAAAATAATAAATTCTCTAAAAAATGTCTTATAATTTAGGACAAAAGAAGTACAAAAAAGGATGAAAAAATTTTTATTGATCCTTTTTTTGTAATTTTTTACGT